GCATAGTTCCACAATTCTTTTGTGTTTTATTGATGCCTCTAAAGCCTTTGATAGGGTAAATCATGAGAAGCTATTTTGCAAATTGTACAACAGAGGGGCTCCCAAATATCTAGTGAGAATCTTGGCCTTTTGGTATGCTCATCAGTCAATGTATGTGAAGTGGGGTAACTCTATGTCTGCCTCATTTAATATAAGTAATGGAGTTAGGCAGGGAAGCATTTTGTCTCCCTTTCTCTTTAATATTTATATGGATGACCTATCGAAGTTGTTAAACAGTTGTGGAACAGGCTGTAGGGTTGGGGACACCATTATCAACCACCTAATGTACGCGGATGACCTGGTCATTCTTTGTCCATATAGTGCTGGCCTTCAACAGCTACTAAGGGTATGTTCCCAATACGGCTTGGACTTTGATATTACGTTCAACTCTAAGAAGAGTAATATAATGATTGCTAGAAGCAGGGAGGACAGTAAACTCTCATTTCCTGCTTTGTATCTGTCTGGTAGGTTACTTAGATTGTGTGATGAGGTCAAGTACTTAGGACACTATATAACTGATGACCTGTCTGATGATAGGGACATTCATTGACAGTATTGTATGTTGTATGCACAAGCTAATATGCAGAATCGCAATTTTAATATGTGCTCACTTTTTGTGAAGACTACACTTTTTAAAGCTTTTTGTACTCCAATGTACACTGCCCACTTGTGGCGGCGCTATAAAAAAAAAGCAGTATGCAGAAACTCAAGGTGGCATATAATGATGGTTTGAGGCTGCTGCTTAAATTGCCACGAGGGGGCAGTGCGAGCCAAATGTGTGTAAGTGTTAATGTATTCACGTGTCCGGCTGTACTCAGGAATCTCATGTAGCCTACAGATGTATGTGTAGACTAGTAGAGTCACATAACAGCATCATCGCAACACTTGTGAACCCTGCATTGAGTGCAGTTAGGTTCAATTCGGGTTTGTGGAATCACTGGCGCTTTAGTCTATATGCCAATATTTGAACACTTTTTTGGTGTATTGTGGAATTTTGACTGTGTAGTAATTTTTTTTTTTTTTTTTATTATCTTTTTTTCTAGTCTGTGTGTACTTTATCTTGTATAGTGTTATGGACCATTTTATATGTATGTCCTGAATAAAGAAATGATAATGAAATCGCTGCTATAAAATTAACCATGGTTTTACTACAACTAGCTAAAAGATGGTTGTTATTGTTCAACTATGGTAACTACAAATTAACCTTGGTTTTACTACACTAACCAACACAGTTTACCAAGCTATTTTTTTGTTTTACAAAAAATAATGTGATTAAGCCTACAAATGGTAACCGCCTAAATCTATGGTTACTACACTTCTACTAGTAAAACCATGGTTTATTTTCGTAAAAGGGTGATGTCAAAGCCTAGCTATACAAGTATATTGTACCTTTATATCTTCTCCGATTGTTATAGCTGTTGTTGTTCCTCTTGAGCCGTGTGGTTTGATTCTATCTTATTTTGAAATCTAATTAAGCTTCAATGAAGACGCACATGTACTTCTTTTCACGTGGTACCCGTCTCTTTCCTCAGCGCATGGTCAGGGAGGACTAATCAATCATTTGAGATTACTACACTAGCCTGGCCTCTATGGTGCTTCTAGATTTCTAGGCTACATATATACGCGTGTGTGTGTGTGTGTGTACAATTATTCATATAAAAGTATTATATATAAAATATAATATATATATTATAAATAAAATATGTATAATAATTACTGAATGACCAGCAGGAATCTGGTTATTCTTACATGTACTGAAACAGAGAAGATTCATGGAGGGACACAGCAAAAAAAGGATCCCGGGCCGACCTGAAAAGCCAGTTGTGGATGAGTCCCATTCTCCCATTAGCCGTCACTAAGACAACCCCAGATAAACAACAGCTCACAACAAAAGACCTCATAGAGGGAACGGCTACTCTCTGGTGACATGCCTTTGGGTAGCTGATTACAAAATCACGTTAAATGAGTTTAAAATCTAGGAAAACTTCAAGCATTTTCTTACATTGACAAGGGTCAGTTCAGAGTATTTCTGTTTTTGAGTGCATTCAAGCATCCAACTATTGTGCAAGAGGAAGGCACTCAATGATGGTAAGAAATGTTTCAATGTTTTACATTTTCATTAAAGGAACACTCCGAGTTTTTGGGACTTTAGCCTATTCACCTTATCCCCCAGAGTTAGAAAAGTCCATACATACCTTTTTCATCTCCATGCGTGCTATAAGTCTGTTTGACGCACCCACCGCTAGCCTAGCTTAGCACAAAGACTGGATGTAAATGGTTGCAGCTAGCATAATAATCCAAATAAGTGACAAAATAACGCAAACATTTTTCTATTTACATGTTGTGATTTGTATAGTCACAGAGTGTACAAAAAACAAAGTCACATGAGACACAGACATATTTTAACCGTATAAATACTGGGAACTATATTCTCTGAAGGCGACTATATTCTCTGAAGGCGAAGCACTGCTACTTGGGCGGAGTGATAACCGCAGCACCTGAGACGCGCCGTGGTGAGGAGCAGAGAGCGCGTCTCAGGTGCTGCGGTTATCACTCCGCCCAAGTAGCAGTGCTTCGCCTTCAGAGAATATAGTTCTCAGTATTTATACGGTTAAAATATGTCTGTGTCTCATGTGACTTTGTTTTTTGTACACTCTGTGACTATACAAATCACAACATGTAAATAGGAAAATGTTTGCGCTATTTTGTCACTTATTTGGATTAGTATGCTAGCTGCAACCATTTACATCCAGTCTTTGTGCTAAGCTAGGCTAGCGGTGGGTGCGTCAGATAGACTTACAGCACGCACGGAGATGAAAAAGGTATGTATGGACTTATCTAACTCTGGGGGATAAGGTGAATAGGCTAAAGTCCCAAAAAGTCGGAGTGTTCCTTTAAAGTCCAAAAGACAAAAATCTGGTGGATTTTTTTTAATGATTTCTTTCATTCTTTCCCCAAATCTCATAATATGAACTTTATAGCCTTCAGGCACCAAGAAGTCAAAACCTCAAAGTGCCAGACCTGCAACAAAGAGCAAAGGAAAGCGCTCCTCCAAGAAGAGGTCTGTCAGTGCCAAATCCACAAAGACAAGTGTGGAAATTCTGAGTCCAGCAGCCATGGAGAACATCTACTACATCTCCCATAATGCAGTGGACTGCTTGGAGTTCAGAGGATTTGGCTGGCCTGAGGCCACCAAGAAGAAAGAAAAAAGGGCAAAAAACAAAAGCAAAAAATGACATGCAGATTTGTGCCAATTAAACCTTAATTATATATGTATGCATTATTGTTCAAAAGTTTTAGATTAGTAATTAAGTTAATTACTAAAGTTAATTATTTTTAAAAGTTAATTATTTTTAAAAAGAAGTCTCTTATGCTCACCAAGGCTGCATTTATTTGATCCAAAATACAGCAAAAACAGTAATATTGTGAAATATTTTTACGATAATAAAACAAAAACAGTTTCTATTTGTTACAAAAGCTTTACAATTTCAGATAAATGCTGTTCATTTGAACTTTCTATTCATTAAAGAATCCTGATAAAAAAAAAGAATGGTTCACAACTGTTTTCAACATTAATAAGCATATTAGACTGATTTCTGAAGGATCATGTGACACTGAAGATTGGAGTAATGATGCTGAAAATTTAGCTTGGCATGACAGGAATAAATTATATTTTAAAAATATATTAAAATAGAAAACACTTATTTTAAATTGTAAAAAATATTTCACAAAATTCTTGTTTTTTGGATCAAATAAATGCAGCCTTGGTTAGCATAAGAGACTTCTTTCAAAAGAAGTAACTAAGTAAGAAATAATACCGACCTAAAACTTTTGAACGGTAGTAGTAGGCCTATGTATATATATATATATATATATATATATATATATATATATATATAGTTTAAATTCTTCAAACTGTCAGTTGTAATAAAACATTTCACCTTTATTTTTGGATTATCCTATTATATAAAAATTACAACCAAATAAATGTGTATTCCTTCAAACTGGTTTTCTGGAACTCTATTAAAAGGTGTTTTAACACAAGCTACACTTATGCCGAGTTCAGACTGCACGATTTTAGCCCCGATTTTGGCTCGCCGACAGGTTTTGAGAAATCGCCGACAAATGCCCAAAATCACAGGCACAGGCGATTCACAATCCTGCTGTGTGAATGTGTTCTGACTGAAAACTACAATGCCAATGAGAGAGCAAGATAAAGGGAGGAGGAGGAGGAGTTATAGACCAGAATATCAGTATTTTAATAGATAGGCCTATATTTACAATTATATCAAACAGAAACGAAGCACAAACATTTGCATGACCAGCAACAACAGCAGGACATTTGCAAAATTATTTATTTACCCCCAACTCTCTTTGCAAAACACAGTCCCAAATTATTTTGAAAATCGTGCAGTCTGAACTCGGCATTAGGGTCTGTTTACACCTCGTATTAAGATACATGTGTAAATCGGAACACCTGAAGAAATCAGGACAGAAGAGTTTGAAAGTGGACAAAAGAGATGGATTAAAACACCAGGTGTAAACGGGAACATGTCTCCCTCGTTTACTTATGTTCCGATCAGTGGATCAGTGGATCGGAACAAGTAAACGAGGGAGACATGTTCCCGTTTACCCCTGGTGTTTTAAAAATAAGCACCTGCTCAAGAGAGTATGCCATTTCGGATGCAGCCAGAAACCCATCTGGTTAGTGCACGTCCCGTGATGTTTACGCATTAGGTTAGTAGGCGGAGAGTTGGCGGTCTTTTGTGGCTGTTCGAACACATGAGCATTTACACCTCAAACGCAATAATGTTTCGACTACCTCTGAAAGTGGACAAGCTCAAAACGTTTGACACCTGTATTTAGCGGCGTCCAAAACGCATCTTAATACCAGGTGTAAACAGGGCCTTATGCGCATAAAAATGCAAATAATTGGGTTTCCTTAAAATAAATAACTACCATTTAGTCAATTAGTTATCAACTTTATTGGTAATTTACTAGGTGTTACTGTACTGTCTCTCTAGACACCCATATAGGTACATAAAATAAGCCACATAAAACGTTACAAAAGAATATCAGAAGCTTGCAAGTACATTCAAAGAGGCAAATGAACGTTAGTCGAGACACCAAAGAAATTAAAAGCAGCCTCTAGCGCAATTCATTATTACACTCAGTGTATAAACGACATGTAACAGTTTGAGTGTTTGACTAATGCTGGGCTTTGTTAGAAGTTTATCGGAGTGATTTTGCAAATACATATACACCCCCCCACCCCACACACACACACACACAGTCAGATAAATACAGAGCAGAAAACAGGCTGTTGCAGTAAGGGCAGCTCATACGATGTCCCGGGTTCGTCGGATGGCGCAGCACAGCAGCATGCTGAGGATCATGCCAAAGATCTGCCAACCAAAGAGACACAGGTTAATATCTGACACCAGTGTGACTCGGCTACCTGCCCAAGAATCTCCTCAGGTGACCATGCACAGGAGCATCTACTCACCATGATCACCCCAATGCCAATCCCAACTCCTCCGATCACTTGAAGCCTAGATGTGAAGTTCTCCTCAATAGCACTTGGGCAGCTCTGGAGCAGAAACAAAAGAGGTGACTATGGTACATGGGAAAAAACACAACATAACTGAAGAGACTAAAGATTTATTTATTGAGTGTCTGGTACCGTTGTGACAATGATTTCCAATCCCTCCTTTTTGGGACAGATGTCAGATACTCCATCAATCGGAAGTCCTGTTTTTCCACAGCAGTTCAACTAAACAAAAGCACACAGAAAAACGTCAGTCGGATTAAAGTTAAGCTTTTTGTCCTCCATCGGTTTGAACAAACCATAAAAATGAACACTCACTCCATAGTGAATTGCTCGCAGAGTTTCCCTCAGCGCTTCCTGTTTTGTGCTTTTGTAGTTGTCAAATGTCTGCTTGTAGAAATCCTGGATATCGTTCACGACCTGAGAAGGAAGAGAGAAAGAAAGAGGACCCACTGTGAGAAAATTAACGGGTGACAGGAGAAAAAGAGTATGAATGTCACCCACCTTTTCCTTATTGGACAATCCCCAGATTCCAGCGGCCACCTCTGCAGCAAAAATGATGAGCAGGAACACGAAGAACTGGAGGCAGCAAGAAAAAGGGAGAGATGAGGTGAACAAGGACATCAGCAAAAAGGACTTAAAACAAAAACATTTTCATTTCTTGGCAAAGACGCTCTAACGTGCATGTGAATTTTCATTCGGTCTGTTCAAAATGATCAGATTCAGAATGAATAAAAAAAAGTAAAAAAAGGTATATCTATAAAAAAAATGGATTGTGATGCACCTGAACACAGTCAGCGATATTAAATAAAACTAAAAATATAAAAACGAACATGCATACAGATACTAATAATGCCATTGTGTCAAGAATCAGATAAATTTCCCGGAGCATAGTGAGACATGAATGTTTCCAAGAGTGGGTATCTACGGGTTGGAGTAATGGGCGTCACGAAAGGTTGATAGTGAAGAAAGTGCTTTATCAAAGGTCGCAAAAGCTGTCTGTCAGGGTGCGGGTAGGGTTAAGGGTTACTTTCTGTTGTAGCAATTCACCTTTCGGCACGCCCATTGAATGCATCAAAATGCATTAAAATCAAATGCACTTTTTACCTGGTGCCCGTTGTAGCCTAAAGGGTACTTCACACGACAACATGGCATTGTTTTTTCATAAAAAGTTTTCTGTTTGTTTGTTGAAAACGATGTTGCGTAAACGCCCCCTAAAACGAATGTAAAAAAACTAAATCTTTTTGTTTTGTGCTGTAGAAGAAGACTCACCATTCCCAGCATGCATGACGATTCTTTTATTGCTCCACAGCAGCCGAGGAACCCGACCACCATCATGACGGCACCTGCCACAATGAGGATATAGACCCCTGAGGACAGAGAAGGACAGAATATCTCTTATTCCCCTGTACCTTTACATTCATCTCACTTCTTTGGCTGCTCATCTGGAAAGAATACTTGAAATCAAGGGCATTTACTGTACATTTTATTATTCTCAGATTCAGTTTATTACAGACACACATTTTGCGTAATGTATAGATGATAACTTTTTCCTTTAGCTACCTTAATTGTTTATCAGAAAAAGCTATGCAAAGCAAAATATGCAAAACAAAATTCCATGTAAATGTTATGTCATGTATCCATGAGGCCAATTGACACCGCACAGACAAACAAGTTGGCTGTTGGATTTAGAATTTTATGAAAAATAACTCATGTTCACACTGCCCCAACAGACACCGACAAACGTGGATTGAACATGTTCAGTCGGGTAAAAAAACAAATCCTGACCAATGCTATAACAGAAACCGACAGGTGCAACACACTGATCCGCCAAAACCCAACAAACGTACGCGTTTGATGCCGTTTGTTGAAACGGTGTGAATTGGCCTATAGAAACACTAAAACACCAGTCCACTAGCTGCTCTTCTGAACAGTCTGTCAGTAGGATGTTTGGCATTCCAGGAAAGCCAGCTGTCACTCAAAGTGCTTTCGAAACCTCTGGCAGATACTTGGACACTTTCCCACTGAGTTTATCGTGTTTTTGTATCTGTGGAGGCGAGCATTCTTCTTACAGCTCTGGTGGAAAATAAACCAGGCAAAACAAAAGGAGGTGGGATGGGAGCAAACAATGCGGGTTCTGTTGGCGAGGAGGAGAAAGGCATCTCTGTGAGGGATGATGGCAAGGGGCAGAGAGCTGACATCGTGTGGACCAAAGCCAGCCTCCTCCAAAACAGCACTGCCATTATAACTCCACAAACCTGACTCTTAAAAAACAAACACGCAGACAGAAACCCAACATCCTGCTCTCTATATTTAGGTTGTTTTCACCCTTCAAAAACTGTGCCATGCTTGGTTTATGGTTTAAAGTTCAATTGGCTGGTTGTTGCTTTGTGGTCGTTCTCTGCAAGGAATTTAATCTTTGGGTCTTTCATAAAAACAAACAAAGCATAGAAGAATAGATGGAGTGCTTTGAATTTTGGACGTGTTTTGTAGTCGCCATGCCATTTGCGTTGCTTTAAGAACTGGATTGTTCAGTGAACGTTGAATGACCAAGTCAGGGTGATGTCGTTAATATACACAACTGTTCAAAAGTTTGGAATAATTTATAAAGATTTATGTTTTTGAAAGAAGTCTCTTATGCATTCATTTGATCAAAATGACTGTAAAACATTCAAATTGAGCAGCAAATCAGCATATTAGAATGATTTCTGAAGGATCATGTGACACTGAAGATCACACTGAAAATTCCGCTTTGCCATCACAGGAATACATAATATAATAAAATAGAAAACGTTTCTTTTAAATTCCATTAATATTTCATAAATGTACTGTTTTTACTTTTGATCAAATAAGCTTTGGTGAGCACAAGAGACTTCTTTCAAAAACATAAGTAAACAAAACACTTAATTACTCCAAACAGTTGACCGGTAGTGTCAGGAATACATATTCTGATCAACTATAGAGAAGCCAAAACAACTCGTCCCACTTCAGACTCATGAATGGCCTTTCATTCGCTTCATGTTATAATCATAGTGTTCATGACACATCATTCACATGACAGATGGTCTGGTTCCTGGAAATAGGTGTGGCTGGTTTCCATGACTACCATTTTACCTCATTCCCAAACATCAACTTACAAAGACCTGATCATGTAGGTGACAAAGGAAGCATGTGCGATCATGGTGTTGGGAGATAAAGGTGGATTTCTGATTCACTGAGATATTAAGAACTGAGGAATCTAGCTTGGGAATGGCCAAATCTCACCTGTGAGGAACACAGATGGGGAATCTGCTGCAGTAAAGAGTTCTTTAGTTCTTTCATCGAAACGCAGCCAGAGACCAACAGCTAAAACTCCTGTACCTGCGAGCTGTGGGAACAAACAAGACATTTTAATATATCCCATTAAAAGATTAGTTTGAACAATGGCCAAACCAAAAAAAAAAAAAAAAAAAAGTCTGCATGGTGCTACCTGAAAACAAAGACATTGGCAAACTGAGTAACAACATAGAAGAAATATAGCTGCAGGGCAGCCAAGCATGACATTATTTACAAGGGCAGAGAGTACAGGAAGTCAGGTTACAAACCAAGTATTTTACTCTTTTTGAGAATGTTCAACAGGCCTTATGGAACCACAGGCACCAACCTGATATTCTTGCTAGACTGCATTGAGAAAGAGATATGCAAAGTTATGCTGAACCAACTCTAATTTCTCTTGACCAACTCCAGAAATTCCCAGGACACAGTAATGTGGCTTCCATGAATGAGTAACATGTAGGAACCAGAACGATTACAATCTGGTACATGTTCTCACAGCCAAAAGTTAATCAACAGCCCACACTCACACACTTTACAGTCAAAACAGATAAAAAAATAAATAGCACCACACCTATGTAGTTCATATTTCATTGTTGTGCAAATGGAATAGTAGGTTCAGCTTTTCATTCTCCTACAACCTTCTAAGAATTTGCACAAACATTGGATCAGTGTGTTTCCTTGAGTGGTTTGACCAATGGCGTAATGAATACTGAGAAACAAACCAAACAAGCTAAACCAGATCACACTATCGAATCACACTAAAGAATCTCTATACATACACACACACAGACACACACGAGTTGCAATCCTCCACTTTTCTTCTGTTTTGGAAAATGCAGTCACAGATATGAGCTCTGAGTCACAGTGAGTCACTGCCAGGGGTGTGGAGGCTTGTCCCTCAAAGCTTCCCAAACTGATCCCGTCTTTTTCCACCCACACACAATAGGCGTAACCGATGGGAGGATATAGTGTTTGCTAGTTTGCTCACTCACCACAAAGCTAGCTTAAGACCAGGCCCAAATACCAAGGCCACTTTAAAACAAGATAATTGCTACAGAGTCAGACCAAATCTTATTTTTGCTGCTATGATGTGTTATCTGTAAAGTCCCATATTCTCGAGGTCTGCATCTAACATGTCTGCAATGTTACATTCAAGCTAAAATGTCAAGCAAAGATGTTCTGAAACCATTTTCAGTCTTCAATAGGCTCAAATAAAAGTCATTAACACATATGTTTAAACAAACCTACATATTATAAACTAGAATCTATATCAAGATTGTATGAAATTATGTTACGAAACCCGCATCTCTCAAAGAGCAAAGTTTGTCAAACACTAAATCCAATCAGGGAAGCAAACAAAGTATGACATGAAAACAAGCAACTAACAAACTCTCATGTCCTCACCACATCACATTCAAGCCACATTTACATTTGTGTGTTAGAATGTTCCCATTTTACTCTACAAACACAATTGAATTAGCATGTACTCATGTAATGATGAAAAAATACCTACCCAGAAGATGAAGTTGAAGATAAAGAGCAAGTATTTGATACACGGAAACCCACCAGCAGCAGCAGCCATGACTAAAAAGTTAGAGCTGTTCTAAGAGTAAACACCCGATACTGAGCACCTGAAATGTGCTTCTGTCCCACCTTAAAACAGGGGCGAGTGAGAAAAAAAACCCCAGCAGGCCGCACCCTCCTACCTAGTGTTTGTCAGAAGGAAAAGAAGGAGGGGCAAAACCATTTTAGCTGAACTAAAAACTGAACTAACACAATTCAGTAGCGTATAAATGGAGTTAAAAAAAGTATAAAAGATCTATATTGTGCTTTAGTTGCCAAAATGGCATCAACACAAGCTGATCAGGTTTTACTTTTCATGTAACTCGAGCTGTCCCTCAGGAACACTGGAAGTCAGAACACAGATATTGTCCCTTTGCTTGACACTTTTAAGTGGAGAGATGGGCTAGAAACAGAGACAGCACATTAACCCTATAAAGCCTGCTGTATCCTATTTTATGCATGAATTTATAAGGCCTTTAAAATCAAAACATTGCTGGAAAAACCTGTTGCATATCTTTTAGATGCCTTCTGCACCCTGATTGATAGTTTATTCTTTTATACTAAGTAAAAGGTATTTTCTAAAAATATCCACCACATGTCTTTTTGCTGTGGAATCTTTAATGATTTTTGTTTACTTGATTATCATGCATAATTTTTTAGAAAAATCATGTTAAAATGTAATTAAGAAATATGATACAACAGGCTTCTGAGGAAAGTTTATTTGTTCATCTCTCAATCATCATTGTATTGAGTTGCATTATATGTTTTGCCTCCGCAACGAAAACTACAGACCTTGATCATAAACTAAGCATTTAAATATCATCTTACTAAGATATATTGGGAGATATAGAGTGACGACTGATATACTGCATTTTATGTAACGTCATTGATTTACACGACAAGCTATCGAGTAAAATTGTTTTTTTCCTCCTCAAGTATGAGTTTCATATTCTCACTATATCATATTATTTGAGCCATAAAAGCCTGATATATCAATCAAATATGAAAAAAAAAATTCTGACTATTATTTTTAATTTATTTGTCAGGCTCTGTTGGGAGTGTTAAGGATGGATGTGGTGGGTGAGGGCAAATTGTAATAGTCCCAAACATCCAACAGTTTCTCAGATGAAACCATGGGGATCCGATTCAAATCAAAGCAAAATCATTATGTAAGTTGCTTAATATTTGGTTGCTGTCCTTTTCTCATTCTTTGTGAGATGATCATTCCTGGGGCTACATTTACCCTAATTTATGAGATGGATTAGTGATGGAGCTGCCTAGCAACAGGTATGCAAAACTTTGACTTGTTCGTCTTCTCATGACGAACATATAGGCCTACCCTTCGTTTTCAAATGTTCGTCTAAAAACGTCTTTACTCGTGAACTATTCAACCAATAGGGCCTATTTAAAAAAAAAAAAAAAAACGAAAAAATAGTTACGAGAACAAACAATGGCAGAAAGTTATATGTTTTGTCTTTATGTTCTCAACATGTTTTGCTTACCAGCTGCCCATAACGCCCAATTTTGAATCAAGGTGTTAGCTCATGAATATTAATTAGGGCGTGCTGACGTTGTTAACCTTCCTGGAGACGAGTCACGTAATCTAAGGGTAGTTATGAGTCGATTCGCATTTTTTATTTTGAGAAACAACCACACAAAGAGGTTCAACTTTTCATTAAGTTATCTATGGGAATATTATGAAAAAATTTACTCGCCAACAGATCAACGCAATTTGCGATCATATATCAATTTATTGTTTTTCACCAATCAAGATGCCGAACATCACATTACTAATCAATATTAATACGTTAGCCTTCGCCATATAGCCTAGGTAATAAAGCTTGAACGGCTTTTATTAATGACATAGGTAGCCAATCAATGACAAATAAATTCAGCACAAATAAATATCAGCCTTTATCTTTGCCGCGGCTCTTATATTTAATAATCCAAAAAGTATTTATTTATGAAGCATATTCAAAGACTATGGTTAGGCTGAATAGCAATTTAGACATTATGAGCTTGGATACAGGTTTTTCTCCCCCCAATAAATAAACATCCAGGAGTGAACTGTATTAAATTAACTCACCCAAAATATGAAATTAAAGGCGAATGGCGTATTTGATGCACTGCTCAGCACTGGACAGACCGGACTTCATGTTGATCCAGGTTATAAGTAAACAGCAACAGATATTTTTGTTGTTCTCAGATGTTTAAATTCCCAAAGGTCTGTGTGTGTCCTTGTGTTGCTCGTCTGGTGCTCAATGCTGCTGCCCTGAGGGGAAATGACTGTTTATAACGGTAAACACCCACCTCTCACGTGAGGAAGGGACAAGAGTATGTCACATTCACTTTTCTTTCTTTCTTTCTTTCTTTCTTTCTTTCTTTCTTTCTTTCTTTCTTTCTTTCTTTCTTTCTTGGCGCTCTCAAAAGTGTGTGTTCCAAGAAAGTCAGAATTGCACTGCAAAAATGATTTTCAAGCTACACTTACTTGAGAAGCAAAGGAATTTACTATTTTTTATCTTGAGAAATGTTTTAAAATGAAGTGAGTAAATGTTTTAAACAAGAAAATTATCTGGAGAAATTATTATTATTGGCGTTTTTTTTTTCTCTTGTTTTAAGGAAAAATTCACTTAATTTTGTTCAATTATTCAATAAGGATGTATATTGATTTAAGAATGCTAATGAAAATACAACACAATACTGATTAAGAGAATGTTTTTTTATACAAGCAGAGTGCTACTGTGCTATATTCCTTTGATTTTAATTAATATTTTGAATGAGATTTTATGTTTTCTATTTTCATTTTATTTAAAGTTTTAGTTAGCTATCTTGTTGTGTGTTTTTGCCATTTTTATCATTTTTATTTATTTATCATCAAGTTTTATTTATCTTATTTATTTATCATCAAGTTTATTTATCATCAAATTTATGATATATATCATTTTATTTTTTATTTCAAGAAACCAAGTTTCTCATGAACAAAACACAGATGACTCTTTCCTCTTTCAGATATGATCTAATCATTGCCGGATGTCACATGACATGCCATATCAGCTTAGTCAATTGTGGTTTCCTGTTCAAAAACTGTACCAAATCCTCAAATCCCATGGTTTAAATATGCTAAAGCATTTCACACAACATGTGGCATTTGCGGAAAAGGCTGAAAATGCAGATAATTAACATGCACTGCTACCTTATGCAATGATTACTCACGACTGCTTCCACACTGAACGTTTTCTGCTCTGTTTACAAAGTCTGTCCTCTGTTTAATTATAGAAGTTCTATGGTTTGATTGATTTTTCCTAAAGCTAGTGGTGCCAGCTCTGTGGAGAGGCGAGTACAGTGAGGATGAGATTTTTGTTGAGGAACAATGAAACCCATTGTCACAGTCAGAGTGTTGTGACACCCATCCATCTCTGCCTGTGATGCTTGTCACCCACAGCAACCACAAAACAATGGCTGTCAATCACACGGACTCTTCGGAATATTTGAGCAGCAGTTATGGAATGAAATCAAATTGAATGTCTATTTACTTCACGGAGCCCTTGTCAAGAAGGCAGATGGCGTAGAACCGAGTCACAATGTTTCTCACCTCAGCATATCAGATGTTCATTAAATTCAATGGTCTTGGCGCACAAATGATTATTTCCCTGCAGACACAAGACCTGTTTGACCTCAGAGTGACATTTCACCAGTAATTTCATTTTGAGGTGGGCTACTGAGTCAACAATGCCTGGTTTTGTTAACACTAAAATCAAACTGTTATTTCATGGAATGTGTGCACATTTTCACATGTTGTGCAAAGAGATGACCACATATAATCTGCGTCACAGAGAATAACCGAACATCCTCCTTTTGCTAAAGAAACCAATTGCATAGGTTTTTGTGGTTCTGGGGTCTGGTGCATAACCTTTAACACCGGTGTTGCCAAATCCGCAGTTTTTCCATGTTCCACCTCCTCAACATCTCAGCTTCCAACTCATGACTTATTTTTCTTATAATGTATTTGAATGATGTTTTAAAACGTTGTGCACTACGCCAAATAAAGGTTCTTTGAAAATCCCCTTTTTGGAACCTTTATTTACTGTACTGTTTAAGCATTTCCTTGACTTCCTCAACTGGATTTCAACTATAGCTCTTTCTGAGAGAGAGAGAGAGAGAGAGAGAGAGAGAGAGAGAGAGAGAGAGAGAGAGAGAGAGAGAGAGAGAGAGAGAGAGAGAGAGAGAGAGAGAGAGAGAGAGAGAGAGAGAGAGAGGAAAGGCCTTATGTGAAAGGATCTCTCTTCAAAACAACTCTGTATTCATATTGGCACAAAGAGAATTTGGGGAGGGGGGGAGCTCTTTAAGTGCAGGGCATTGGAGGATAGTGGTGGTAAGGATGCCATCTTGTGGTTCTCAGACAAAATTGTTGTCCTTAAATGTAGGCTAGTTTGTCGAAACACATTCAGGCAAACTCATTTTCTATATCTCTATTGAAATAACAGCAGTCAAATGGAATAGCAGGTGATGACTTAATAAAAATATGAGGGATATTTAGGATGCAATTTTGATTGTTGACCACATGAGGGCACACGCTGCTAAAATTCTGATGAATTTAATAAAGAACAACCAACTTTAACCACAAGAGAGCGCTAATGTCGCATCAATGCCCACATTCTCAAACCTCTTGGTGCTCAGATGGTATCTGTTCCAATATTCTCCACAAACACATAAATTCACTGTCTATATGTTGGTTTTCCTGTTCACTGTTGACTTTGATCAATACCTTGCCTTAACCTCCCACCGAGAATGGATTAAGATAAATAGGCTACATACATGTAAAAATGATGGCTTCATAGTGCAAATCCCTCCCTTTCCAGTGGGCTAGATATATCCCAAATGTACCCTCCAGACCTGTGTGAGTAAAGCAAAGCATATATATCTATAAGTCAAAGGGGTAAAATGAATGAGAGCTTCAAGCTGATTTAACAGGCAGGCTTTTGAAGAGTTAAACGTGACATATTCCCCATTCTAGTTTCCAAGAGGAAATCAACCAAATCGAGAGCAGTTGTGTGGGTGAGCTTTTGAGGGCTATAAGAGCCGCTTCTGAATGGAGGAAATTCCACGTCTCCTCACTGATCTGAATGTGTGGAGTTCCTATAGACCTATAGAATGTAACTTGGCAACACGAAAAGCATGTGATTTGTGTTTAAATGTATGTTTCACTGGTCTTCTGGTGTTCTATATGAAACAGCAACACATTAAAGGCTGCTAGGCCTAACATTTTAGTGTGCAACCCTACACTCAATGGGGCAGTTGCATCATCTTAATGATGCTGTAAGCCAAAATAAACACTTCAAGAAACCAATAATGGCTTTACTGTAACATTTCCACAAAAAAGAGCATTCACAACTTCAGTTTTTAAATAGATAGATAGATAGATGATAGATGATAGATAGATAGATAGATAGATAGATAGATAGATAGATAGATAGATAGATAGATAGATAGATAGATAGATAGATAGATAGATAGATAGATAGATAGATAGATAGATAGATAGATAGATAGATAGATAGATAGATAGATAGATAGATAGATAGATAGATAGATAGATAGAGCCCTGTGTCTCTCCAGCAGTCATGGCATTAAATTAAGCCTGGCCAAAGCCTGGTGAGGATTTTGCGCCTTCACAGTCTCTAATCGCCCCATACCTGATTGTGCTTCAGGTCTCCGGCGACATGGCTGTGAATGGATCCTGTTCGTATGTTGGTAAGTCATGACAAACCCTGTCCACAGATAATTGCCTATGTACGCGCTTTTAAAACTCCTGACATTAGTTATGAAGCACACCAGTATTTTTATATACATATATATTTATAGAAACATGTTGTTTTGCATAAAATATAACTTTGTTTTGATTATATGGAAATGTTATTGGTGTTGAATACAGTTTATGCAAAGAGACGTGTTTTTGTTTTCTGTGATCAAAGAATTCTCTTTTTAAGTCTCTTGTTGGGGTCTTTTGAGGTAAAGATAAATCTTTAACCCTGTGTAGTCACATTCTCAAAGTAAGATCAATATAAATGTTAAATGTGTAATGGGTATTAATTGCGATTAAAACTTTACTGTTTCCCATCAACAGAGGTGCATAACTGTGTTCTGAATGGAGTCAGCACTGCCTTGAGTGAGTCCTCCTCTATTTGCAGTGACTTAAGGGAAATATCCGAGACTGAAGTTATGAACTCCACCAGCTGCACCTTTGATGATCTGTTTGACCCCATTGAAGAGTCTTGGCATCATGTGAGTAGCCTGCTGAACATGTATATGTGGCAAATAAATTCAGTTTTTGTGTGTTATGTGTTTTACTTCAAAGAAATAAAATGTCAGGGCCTAAAGGATGCCTTTATTATAATAAGGGTGATGGGGTTGGGTACAACAGCACTAAAGGCCCCCAAACCACTAAATAACAACAAACACCACAACAGTTTCCTAATCACCTGTTGGTCGCTGTGTATGTTGAAAAAGTTGCCTGATCCATGGTCATCATATGCAATCATAAAAACTGAGGTGATGTTACTTGGAAAATTTAATCTGTTTTAAAGTGTGGCATTTTTTTTTTTTTTTTTTTTGCTAGTTTGAATCCATGAAGGTATTTTAATAGTTAATAATTTTACACTGCTGGAATGGCGGAATGCATGACCTACAACAAAATACTTTCCTTCAGTGAGGGGAATAGATTTGTTGCAAAGGATGTGCAAAGTGGAGCAAAAATGCAATGGGGATTAATTTATGAAATATGTCTATACGCCAAGATGCCTTTTTACTAAAAGCAGGAAAAGGAGGAGTTTGAACATTTGAGTTGTTATGAAACGTCATATGTGTGTTAACAGGAAATGTAAACTATTTCATGAAGTGGTTGTTTGTCCTGGCTTAATATGCAAGAAGAAGAAAAATCTTGCTATCTCAAAAGTTTAAGCATTAAGTGTCAAACTCTGCTTGATCACTAGAACCTATATCTACACTATTTTACACTATATCCCTTTTAATTATTATAATTATTTGTTACTCACAACAGCCTTAACAAATATGTCTTACTCCATCAAACAAAAATACATATTTTTTCTTCATGTAGAAGCAGGCACATTGTGCTTATGGGAGCATTTAGCCCCACTGAAGCCTTTGTATTAAGCTTTAAATCACTACGCTATTTCGTAGAGAACGATTTATGCATTAATCGGATGTGCGCAGAATTTTTTGAACCTGTTGGCGACCATCTTT